CATTACTTTTTGAAAGTTTAAGAAAGGAAAGAAGAAAGAAAGGAAGGTTAAAAAAAATATAATAATACAAGCATTCTAAAGTCATCATTCGGTTAATTAATGATCTGATTTTCATAGTAAAACGTTAAGGTTGTTATTTTAACTTAGACCATCTGTTTTAAAACAACATCTGCTTTTATATACAAACTGCTCTCATAGTTGAAGAAACAAATTTTTACTCTTAAAATTTTCCATCAAATCCTAAAAGTTATTTCATGAATCTTAACAAAAATAAAACAAAATTACAAATCCTAAAAATTTGCATTTATTTCTAAAAATGAACCAATCGGTTTCTTAAGAATAAACTAAATCTTATATATATATTTTTTCTATATATACTTTATATATATATAAATTTTTATTTTTTTATTTTTTCTTTCCTTATTTGATCTCATCTTCTATTGAGAATAGACAATCAGAAAAGCAATTGAAAGAAAATGGCTCATTTTTGTTGTCCAATTTTTAAAACTTTGATTTTGGAAAATCGATTGAAAGAATAATTTTGCAAAAATTTATGATTCCTTTCTCCATTAGGTTATCGTTAGAGATCTAAAAACATTTTGGCAGAGTAACAATTATAAAAAATAAATTTAAGAAGGAAAAAAAAAACATATTTATAAAATGTGATCAGGTAAATTTAAAATTTCAAAAAATTATTTTTTTTTACTATTAAAATTGTATTCTTTCAATTACTTTTTCTAATGAAAATAAACAAAATTTCTTAACATTTGTATTTGTAACATTAAATTTTTTTTTATGTTTTTAAAATTAAAAAAAAAATCATTAATTGGAAAATTAAAGTAAATTTACAGTTAATAAATTAACTAAACTAAGTAAATTTTATGATTTCTTCCCTTCAAATATTCATATCTAATTAATTATACATATTTTTCTACATTTTATACGAGCTGAGATAATATCTTTAAATTTTTAAGTGGAATTAAAGTAATTTTAAATATTAATTCGAGTATAACGCGCAGCGCACTTTTAAAAATGCGTTTTTAACAGCGAAAAAATTAAATAATAATTAAATGTAAATATAGTTTAAAAGAATTTATTAAAGAATAAATAAAAAAATACTTTAAAGTAAAGTATAATTAAGGAAAAATTATAAAATAAGCAGGAAATACTTTAAAATTTTTATAAATTCGAGGTATTCTTTGTTACTTACTTTCGTAAAGATTTACAAAGAGTGACAAAGAATAACTGGAATTTAAGACGAAACACAATTTTAAATTCAAAGTAATACGGTAATAAATTTATAATATAAACTATAATTTATTACTTTTAAAAAAAATTGTAATTTTTCTATATTATACGCTTAAATCAGAGATTTTGGAACCTGATCGTACATGAACCCCCAAGAGGTCAATCTATTTATCTGTGGTAAGGATTTTTGGAGGATCGATGGACAAATTTCCTTTTATTATACTTAAAATAATAATAAAAATGAAAATAATTATCATAAATAATAATTTATTCATATTTTGTATTAGTAAAGAAGGGGGCCAGCGAATTAAATTTAGTTATAGTATAGGCCAATTCGAAAAGTTTGGAAATCTTCGCTCATTTTTAAGCCTTTTTTTTCTATATTAAAATGATATTTTAAAAAATTTCTTTCCGTTCATAATTCAGAAAGAAAAAAAATTTTTTTTTCTTAATTTTTATACAAATTCGCATTATTTTTACTTTGAAAATTTCGTGAAAAATTCTTTAATTTAGAAAATATGAGTTACAATTATTCATAGCTACATTCCTCAAACGTTTTAATTATAAACATAGTTATTTTTTCCCTCTATTCTGCACAAATTTAGTAAATATTTTATACGTATAAAAATAATAAAAATATATTTTAAAAATTTTTGGCAAAATAACAAGTAAAATAATAATATATTTTAAAAAATGATCAGTTAAGTTAACATCTTTAAAAAATATATATATAATTTTTTAATATTAAATTATCTCCTTTCAGAAAATTTCTTCATTGCTTATAAATTGTATAAAGAAAAATTTTTAATTTTTATAGAAATTTTAAGAGAATTTTTTTAAAATTTTATTTTATTTGTGAAAACCAATAACAATTGATTATTTTAAATGAATTAAGTAAATTTCAATTACTCCTCCTCCTCAAACATTCGTTTCTAATTAGTAATATACAAATTTTTCTGTTCCTGACACAAATCGAACAATTGTTTTTACACATTCGAACAGAAAAATAAATAAACCTTAAAAAAAATTTTTTTCTTTTTTGTCACAGTCACAATTAGAACGATCTGATAAAGTTTCTTCTCTCAAAAAAAATTCTTTAATATTAAATTAGTCTTTCAGTGAAGATAAACGAATTTCTTATACTATAAAGCTAAAAAGAAAGTTTTAATTTTTATTAAAATATTTGTAATTTTGTTTATTATTTTTTTTATACCTCGTGAAGAAAAAAAAATTTAATATATTTTTTTGATATATTTAAAGAAATAGAAAAAAATATATAAATATGACTTAATCTATAAATAAATTAAGCAAATTTTAATTTCTTTCTCCAAACATTCCATGTAATTAGTAAATATGTACAGTACATTTTCCCGTTCTTTACACGAATTGAATGAATGTTTTTACCCTTTTATCAATCAGAAAAATACAAATAATGAAAAATATCTGTTTATTTTTTTTTTGAAAATATTATTACTTTTTTCCCCCTCTTGTTGTTTAAAGAAAATTCGTGTTCTGAATTTTTATAATTTCCGATAAATAGTTTCATCACGTATTTTCTGATTTTTGTAAATATCCTCTTTTTTTTTCTTTTCTCTTCTCCTCCTTTTTTACACGATTAAATATAAGTTTTCAATACTTAAACTACTTTATTCGATTTTAATTTTACATTTATCCCCCCTTTACAAACAAAATTTTACTTTTATAACTTTTTGAATAGTTTCCATATATCAATTTTGTCAGATGTTTTTGATCGATTAAACAGTCACAATGTAAACGATCTAGCAATAAAGATATAAAAGAATTTTGTCAATATTTGATTTTTATAAAGAAAAATAACCAAAAATGTATTTTAAATAATTAAATTTTAATACTCTTTAAACAAAAAAAAAAGAAACATTACCAATTCCTATACATACATAGCTGTGCTGTACTTAAATAGATTTTCCTCTTAAGGATACGTATATTTAATATTTATTATAAGGTATTAATGGATAAAAATCGAAAAAAAAATATTATGTATAATTTAATATTAAAGTTTAAACTTTGTAATAATTTAATATAGAAATTGTCAGATGATAGATTTCCACAGCGATTCTAGAACCTTGAAACTACTAAAATTCGATTCTAGAAAGTTTAGGTAGACTATCAACAACTAACAACTTCCACTAATTAATTCACTGTAAATTGTCTAACATTTGTTTACCACTTAAATATGCTAAATCGGTACTAAGATAAGCATAAATTAAAATTTATTACAGAGTAAAATGTTTCGTATGCAAGAAAAGCCATTTAAAAAACTTTTATAGCTACAATATTTCCTCCTGGAGAAGAAAGAGAGAGAGAGAAAAAAAAAGTGTAATTTGTAACAAATTTAAAGAAGATAGTTTCAGAAATTCCAGAATTTAGAAAAATTTTTAATTCAATTTAAAAAAATAAATAATAAAATTTTTCGCCTATTAAACTACAGAAATTTTATTAATTAATTAATAAAATTTGAAGTTTAAAGTATGTTTACCCATTTATATATACTAAATCTTTACTTATAAAAGCATAAATTAGAATTTATTACCTGATTTAGCGTTGTTTATGTGATAAAAATAAGAAACTATTTTATAGTTACTATGAAATTTTATATATATATATTTAAAAAAAGACAAATAAAATAGCCGAGTTAACAAATTTAAAGCCAATCAGATAAGATTCCAAACAAATTTCGTGGACTAGAAATCTACTAAAATTCGATTCTAGAAAGTTTTCCATCGATTAACTAACTAAAATTGCACTAATTAATTCAGTGTAAATTGTTTAAGGTTTGTTTACCCACTCACACACGATTTAATCCAATTTTATTATGAATTTTATGAAGAGGTTTCTATGTTAAGTTTATAATTTAAACTTTGATTAAAAGTAAAAGTTTTAATAAATAAAACAAAAGGGAATAAATTACTTTATGTTGGTATTTGATAACGTTACCCCATAGTAGAAAAGTTGATGGGTCATCAACTTGTCCACCGAAAAAAAAGATAGACAAGGTGATGGTCTCTTCGGGACATTTAATGTCTCGGGATATATTTTAGGAATTCGCATGATGGGATCAAATGTGAAATTGTCGACGTAATTGGAATAAATGTGATATATCTTATAAATTTTCTTAAACTTCTCCAGTTTATAAATCACGTATGAAGATCACATTTATACCATTAATCACCCTGTTATCTAGCAGCAGACTATAAGAATGACGTCGTGGACTTTTTCGAAAGAATAAAAATTTTCCAATCTCTTTATAGATTTTTATGTCTATTTGGAATAGAAGAGAATAATTTTATTATTTTTTTCCTGTTTTCTTATGTTTCGATTTAAAATTAGCTCTATTTGGAGACTATTCTTAGAGTGATTGAATAAGAAAAACAGGCCAATGACTGATAACGGTCTGCAATGCATTGGAGTAGAAAAAAAAATTCAATGGTAGTTGTTGCTTCCAGTAAAGTAATCTATAAGACAACATCTACAGTCTAATTTCGATGTGGATTGCGGAAACTCAAATGGGATGAACGTTAAAGGCAGAGAAAAACTACTAAAATTCTTCTCTTTCTTTTCTACTAATCCGTCGAGAGTGATGCAAGAAATATTATATGGACCTATTGTAATGCATAATTCATTTAAATTAACTATAAAGAAAGTTAAGGACGTTACTCTTTTATCTATTCTACTTTTTATTCTGATATTATTAATATGTTTGTTTGTTATTTTAGCTAATAAACTCCCCGTAATGGTTTACATACACGGTGAATCGTACGAATGGAATTCTGGCAATCCATATGATGGTAGTGTACTGGCAAGCTATGGGCTGGTAGTGGTTGTCACCATAAACTACAGACTTGGAGTGTTAGGTAAGGATTTCTCATGTTTGTTTACCATTAAACAAACTTACAGTTATAATAAATAAGCGGTTTTAATACAAAACAAAATGAACTTTAGTAAGGATTATCTTCTTAATGCATAACGCTCTCAAAGACATTAAAGAGTATCGATTGGCGAGTTTTTTCAGTAGTTTAAGATTAATAAATATAAACAGTATAAAATATATAATTTATAAAGTTAAATAGGCAGATTTTCTTCCATTTAAAATTATTTTATAACTGAGTTAATTAAGGAATTTTTATGCAGCTTCGTTAATCGAAAATTTGTATTTGAGCGCGCCTATCTTCAGTTAAATTCTCTATCTACTTGGAAAAAAGTAAAGCTGATAATAATATTTTTTTTACCGGGAAAGATACATGCATAGTCATCATTTCCGTTATAGAATGGATAATGCCGCGTAATTAGTGATTATTGGATAATGCATTTAATGACCGTTGAAGTCTTTCTATAAATGAATTGTTTTCGAGACTTACTCAGCTATTCTATACACAGAAATAAAATTCGTTTAATAACAGTTAATTAAATAAATGACAAAATTAGACGACTATCGAGTAGTATAAATATAATACGAAAGGAATACAATTAACTTTCCTTTTGCCATTTTTCCAGACGTGACCTCTCTCTATATTTAGGGTCTTGTATATCACTGTGAGTGGCAAACGATATGCTAATGGTATTGTACGTTGACATGTAGTGTTGTGTGAGGGAGAGAAAATTCCGTATGGTATCGATTTATCGCAAGAATTCAATAATTTATGCAGATTTGAAGCCGCTGGGTATCTACTCAGAACACAAATTGCTAGTTTCTAGAGATACAAGTATCGACAGAATCATCGACAAACTGATCAAGAAACGAATAAAGAAAGAAAGAAGAAGAAAATCCAAATACTTCTTTTTATTTTCTGACATCTTCAGTCGCCGGTTGACAAGTAAAAGTGTTGCAGGTGTTGATTCTTGTGGCGTTAAAACGAAACTTACTTTGAGTACAGAAAACGTCGTTTAATGATTCTTCTTTTTTCCTGTTTTTTTCTTTTTTTTTATAAATAAAAGAAAAAGTCACAACCGAGTAGAAAGATCGATTAATGATGTAAAATGTCAACGCCACAAATCTTTTCTAATTTATTCACTTTTTTCTTTATCAAGTGTGTTTTCTGTATCCTGAAACAATTACTGACGTGTTCATTGTGAACATTACTTTAAAGAATCTACTGAAGAACTTTTCCCCTCTTCTTCCCTCTGATGACTCTCTAAAGTTTCATTGTGTCAATTATTTCATTGTTCGCGTGCATTTTCGACATTTTTATTCTCGCTGGCCGAGTTTTATATGCAGATTTATATATATTTCTACGAATGATCCATTAAATAATATCATTTTTAGGATTTCTTCCTTCGTTGGATAATTCTGCGCGGGGTAATTATGGTTTGATGGATCAAGTGGCCGCTCTTCATTGGATACAAGAGAATATTGGAGGTTTCGGTGGGGATCCTCGAAATGTTACGGTTTTTGGACATGATTATGGAGCAGCCTGCACTAACTTTTTAATGATTTCTCCTATGGCCAGAGGTAACATGTATACAGATTTTATATGAAGTAATAATCAGTACGTGAGTAATAATCCGCATTTTTAAAGAAAATAAATATGTAAATATGAAAGAACTTTTATTTATAATTCATTATTTATTCTTCTTAAATCATAAAATGTATATTTTTTACTTTCTTATAATAAAAACCGTTAATTTAGTATAAAATCTTACGCAATTAAATAAATTTAATAACATATATCGAAAATAGAAAAATAATAAAAGTAATAATTTTAACTCGCGTTTTACTTCTTTATCATGCAAATTATTGTAAATTAAAATTAATTATTTAAATAAAAGAATATTTTTTTTTAAAAGAATGAATTAAAGAGAAAGGAACACAGAAAAATTTTTTTCCGAATATTTTACATTTTAATAATTGAATAAATAAATGTTTAAAGAGAAATTATTGATGTTTGCAAAGGAATTAATTTTTCATCGTTGAGGAAAAATTGTATTTTTCTTGAGTTAATTTCAATAGAATGATAAATCTTTTCTTAACATTTAAAAATTTTATACGTAATTTTACTTTTGTTATCACTACGTAAATCTTATAAATGATAAAGATGTATGTCTATAACATTGACTTATATGTTATTTTTACATACATTTTTAGTGAATTTTATTAAGATTATTGTCCTTTATACATATAAAATTTATTATTTACAAGTTATTCTCTTATTTATTATATGTTTAGTTATTCATACATGCATTATAGTTTCGAATAAAAGTATAATAATAATCATATATATAAAATACGATAAAAATTCTACGCAGATATATAAATTTAATTTATTTATTTAATAAGTATATAAATAAAATATAAAATTACATATTTTTTTGAATATTTCTTTTATTATTAATGCCTTATCATTAAAAGCTTGGTTTTATAAGTCGCTGGAAGCGATGAAATATTTTTCATGGCGAAAATAAGTTATTTGATTCCATCGAGTATAATAAATTATACATTTTAAAATCATATATTTAAAATTACAATTAAAATTTTCCGCTCTAAATCTCGTAGTTTCATCATTTTCAATTAATTTATGGATAAGTATCAGAGACCAAATGTTATTTGATATATTTAAAGTTCGAAATTAATGTGGTTGTCGGTAGAAAAAAAGGAAAAATCTCTATCTAGATGAGTTCTAGATTACATGCACTTATCTCGTACAGTCTATCATATCATAGTGAAGATACGAATCAAGTTGTTAAGTAATAATAAAAGATAAAAAGATTGGAAGAGTCTCATTGAACTTTATATATAAAGTTAGGAAGAATAAGTTATAATGAAAATTATATACTAAGAAAATGCCATAAAGTTAAAGTAAATAATCCATTAAGCAATTGCATTACGTAATTACATTAATTAATAAGCGTTAAATTTAATTAAAATTAAAAATATGTTTTCGCCATAAGCCATAAACATTTCTCATATTCTGTAAATTATAAGTGAACTTATTAAGTTTTGTTTGCATGAAACAATATCTGTACCTTAATTTGTGACATTTAAGCAAATTTACATAGCGCATGAGGTATTGGTCTGTTAATTACAAAGCATGATCAATATCTCATTATATATAAACCATATATACATGTATACACTTGTATATATATATTAATAATACTTCCTATAAAAATAATTTTATTCGATTTTATGAGAAATTTTTCACATAAATCTCATTGAAAATATATCAAATTATTTTTGCACATTATTAAAAAAAAATTGATTTATATTATCGAAAATTTTAAGAAAAATTCAAAATACGATATTATTACGTCATTTCCGTTTAGAGAATAACGTTTGAAATTCAATATTACTCTTGACTGTCGAAGGAAAAATTTATGACGTTAGCTTTATAACGTCACGATTGTATCCTTTCCTTTTCTCTGTTTCCTGTTGGATGGAAAATAATAAAAAAAAAAATCACTTTTTTAAAAAGAATGAAATTTGATGAGTTACAGACACGATATTTATTCACGTATGTGACGTAATAATTAAAGCAATAAAAACGAAAACGTAACTCTTGTTGATAATACATTGTTACGTCTCTGTTACAAAACGAAACATTCATTCGTAAATTGTAATAAGAAATAAGTAATAAAACTGTGATATAATATTTTGTAATAATTGCTTTCGTTTGGAGTAAATTTACATTTTGTTCTGTTTTATGTCATATTTATATTCGATTATTATCATGTGTGCGTTGTAAATTACGAATACGAAATGTTCAAATGTTCTCATTTAATGAGAAACACGTTTGATTTTATTACGTCATTGTTTACGTCATAAAATAAAATATCAGTGACATAATCATAGAAAGTAATTATTACGTCACTGATTTATCGAAAGTAATTATTACGCAATAAAGCAAACAATGTATTTACTAATTATTACGTCAACTAATTTATAAAAAGTTTGTAATACGCAACAATTGTAAACAAGGCGCTTACTAATTATTACGTCACTGATTTACAAAATGCTATTATTACGCAATAAAGTAAGCAAGTATGGCTTTTAATTATTGCATCACTAATTTTTCCGTACGTAACTCTCACGCAATAAAAATGACGTAATAAACGAGTTGCATAAAAGCATTATTACGTCACTGATTTTCCAATATGTAACTACTTCGCAATAAAAGTGACGTAATAAAACATTTTTGGCAAGCATATTGTTACGCTATAAATTGTTTGATTGTACGTAATAGTTAAATAAGTATTCGTTTTCGTTACGTAATAATACGATAAAAAAAATCTTTTTACTAGAAAATGTTGTTAATTTGAATTATTTTAAGTAAATTTTTAATTAATTAAACAATTAAAAATTGTAATCACTTGTTAATTATTTTTAAAAAGTCAGTGTTTTAAGTCAATATAAGTAAATTTAATTGTTTTTCTCCCTCATTTCAGGGATTATATTAGTAAAAGTTAGAAAGCAAAGTTAACAGTTAAAACAAAGAATAAATTGATGATAATTTATAGTTTCACACATTTGTTTTAATCCAAGATAATTTAAGTAATGTATATCATTACTCAAGAGGATTTAATTAAAAGTAAAAATAAATTAAAACTTTCAGTTGTCAGTACGTTAGAAAAAAAAAGAATGAAACGTTGGTGTAATATTAGAAAATTGTATTCAGTTGTATGATAGCAATAAAATAAATTTATATAAATTTCAAAGGGAAATTAGGAGGATGCATAAATTTTTAGATTTTTATAGGGAAAAAAATAAGTTATTAACGATGTAATAAATTAATGCTATTCAAGGATTAACTAACAGAAAATTCACGTAATATTTTAATAGTGTAAAGATACATTTTACTTTTGTTCTTTATACGAAGTTTATTCACATTTTTACTTGTCCAGTTGTTATATACAGTATATAAAAGGGAAAGTATGGCGATAGGTCAAAAAGTTACTCCTCCCCCGAAAATTTTTTACATTTCTGGACTGGAGGAACTTTAAAATTCATAAAACATTGGGTTTTTTTTGTTTGTTAGTGTATGGGGCACAATTTTGTTTACCCATTTTTGAAGCTGAATAACTCCTGTTATTTTTATTGAAAATTTTTGTAATTTTACGCGGTGGTTTATGTATTACTCGGAGATGTTTTTAGAAATTTTCAGAAAAATCGGACCGTTTATTCGGGAGATATGGCCTACACTTTAACATCTTCCGAACCAATGTGAAGACATGTTAAGGTAATGATAGCACTTATTATATGAAAAGAAATAAATAACGTTTAGCAATAATGGTGCCAGCTTTTTTAAATTTATAATTTTTATATTTTTACTTAAGAAGAAGTTGCATTTTATTTGAAAATTATCCATTTATTCTATTAAACTGGTAACTTCGAATCACTGGAGAGTCATCGTTTTACTGAAGAACAAACTCATTCCAATTAGATTATTCTATTAAAATGACTAAAAATTAATTATTTCTAGTTTTAATTTAATATTACTTTTAACTAATGTAAAGATAATAGAAAAAGTAATGTATAGTTTCACGTCAACTTGACGTCATTTCGACGCTTTCTCATTACAGTAATCGGGTAAAAATGGCGTCAAATTGACGTAAAAATACGCACTATTCTAAAAAATAAATCTTATACACCTAACAGCTATATTGTAATATACAGAAATATACGCAAAGGTATAATCTGTTAAAGTGAAAAAGGAATGAGATAGGGGAAAAAAAAGTAAGAGGACTTTGGAGATAAAAAGAATATGGAGTCCCTGAGCGCTTGCATGCTCCATCCCCAAGATAGATCAACTTTAAAAGTGGGGCTGATCTATCCTGGGGATGGCGAAGAAGCAAGTCATTAGAAGTATTTGAAATATAGGGTTAAAAATTTTATAGTTATATTATTTATTATTATACAATACGGATCTAGCAAAAGCTTTTATATATCCAACATAACTAGACTTTAATCACGACCCCCACGTAATGAAGTAAATATTATTATTATTGCCTATATATATAAGCATATTATAAAATAATGTACGTATATAATGGGAAAATGTCAGGCAAAACTTTTGATAATTGACTTTTACCATAAACACACAATGGGCAGCCTTATTAGTCCTCACTTACATTTATTATAATTGGGAGCTTAACTACGTGGCTGGATAACTACTGGGCAAGTAAATAAAATTATTAAACACTGATATTTAGTCACGGGTTCGAACCCGACCAACGGACTGGTCTCGTGGAGTTTTCTACATTTTCTTCCATGTCTAACACTTAAATAGAGACAGTTTCTCATAGAAAGTCCCTTTCGCATGAGCTTCTTGTCTTACTTCATCAATCCAACCCCTCATCTCGCAATTATCTAGGAGTTGAGACAAACCTTTTATCAAATGAAACTTGACGATGAAACTACTGCAAACACACAATTAAGGTATTATTTTACTGTATAATTTTATGGAAATTTTTAACCAATTTTTTTTATATCTTACGTTTGTAATTGCTCTTTAGCCATTAATTATATTTCTCTAATTTATCATAAGTTATTTTATTTATCTCTT